TATTTGCTCAGAAATAAAGTTTGAAAAAGGTATATTATAATGAACCACACTTCTGCCCTTTTGTATTTCACTCTGCCCTAGTTTCTAAGATGCAATGTGGTTTACTAAACACCACATCCTCGCAGAGGACAGATTCTTAATGTATTCATCATTCTGAAGCACCAGTATAGGAATTAACAGGTACACAACTTTTCCCATCAATCACAGGCCTGGGTTATTTAGGAATACAAACATTTATCCTCTGCTATAATTTAAAGACAATGAAGGGTAGATGAAAATACATTTATCAGCTAAACAAACCATTAAATCCTTTTTAAGTAGGGATTAAAAACTAGGCATTAAATCAGGGATCCTTAATGTGATAAATTTTTATAAATGCAGATATTTAGATTATGGAAAATGGATGTCTTTGTCATTTTGAGCTGCTCAACACAATTATACTATAATTATCTAAGTGAGGACAGGCCTGCTTCCAAATTTACCTGATGAGAGATGGAAGGTTGCTGGATGGGCCCCTGCATTCTAGGGTTTGGTAAACCCACAGGTGCTGGCCTCCGTTGCACCTGTTGCCTCTGAGCCATTACCTGTTGCTGCATATGCTGGAGCCGTAATTGAGCTAGGCTGATCTGTGTTGGGAACTTGGATAACTGGTTTGATGATAAACCACTTGGTGGCTGTGAATTCTGTTCCACGACAGGATTCTGCTTAGGCATTTGTGGCTGGCTCTCTTTATCCTCAATTACTAAAGAACCTAATTAAAAAGAAAAGGTTAAGGGAAAAAGTTTTTCAGATAGTTGGTGAAATATCACATTTTCTAAGACTATTTTTGCAGAACTTCAAAATTGCCATGGAATTCTCTGGTCTCATGAGCCCTTTTACACTCTGAAAGACAGAGGACCCCCAAACAGCTTTTGTTCATCTAAGTTCTAGTCATCAAAATTTATAATATTAGAAATTAAAAATAACTTTTAAAACTAATTCATTTAAGAATAATAAAACCATAACAACATGTTTTTATAAAACTACATTGTAAAAAATTTGGTAAACATTTTTGGTATTTTAAAATACTGTTTGATGTTTTAAAAAATCTCTTTGAATGTCTGGCTTAATAGCTGAAATCTCATTATCTGTTTCTGCACTATCTATCATAATATATTGTTGAGTTAAAATATATGAAAAAAATTTCAGTCTCACTGTATGGCAGACAGCACCTGACAGCAATAACTTAAGTCTACCCTGAGAGTGACCCTGTATAGCCTAAGAAGAATGTGTGTTTGGAGTTCCGCGCTAAGGAACCTAGGAGTGGCCAACCCAGAGATCCATTCTTTATCAGTGAAGAATATCTGAACTCCCAGGCCAGCCTCTGGAATCCAGGCCATATCGGGGATGGAGGACTTTTGCTTTGTGTTAAATGAAGGTTGCCACATGGAGGTTGCTCGCGGGAGGGTGCTAAGTGCTATATAAACTACTTGCTGGTGGTTCTCTTGTCCAGCCCACTGCCACTGGACTGTCCTGTATGTAAGTTCCCTCCATAAGCCCTGTGTCTCATTCACTAGCTCCAGGTCTCTTCTTGGGCCTCTCTTCTTGGGCCTCTCAAACATGGTCCTATCCCTACTGAAGTCAATAGGGGTCTGGCACAACATTCATCCAGACGTGTAGTTGGAAAAGGGTGACCTTTGTGGTCCCCTGATAGAGTACCAGACTATACTCTGAGAACCGCTGTCATATATCAAAACAAGCAAACCTGACATTGGCTCTAAAAACAATCCCAAAAAGTATTTCTGAATGTTTACTATTAACAAGTTGTGATCTCTCAAGTTTCCTATACCTTTACAATGCATACTATGTTAACTTTTTGATACAGAATACATTGACCAGCTTAAAACTAGTTTTAAGAGTTTAATGGTGCCTTTGAAAGGTCTGATTCAAGCTTGATTTCAACAGTAGAAACTCAAATGTTTATGATTACTCATATGCATTCTAAAAATATATAGTTACTCATTAAATGTTTACTGTGTGTAATTCACTACTACAGGTAGGTGTATGCATATGTTTAAAAGAAACAATAACATTCTCTTTTACACATAAGGGATCTAAGGTTTAGAGAGGTTGTAAAACTTATCCAAAGTCACTCAAGACAGTAACAAAATATTCACCTAGACCAATATTTCTCCCTAGTGTTCTTATACGTTTCTCAGAAGCCATGGGTAACAAGTTTAGGAAACTTGTCTCCTTCTTTAGAGATTTACAATGTAAATCTCACTGTTTATGAATTTACAGTGCTGTAAGTGACAGCTCTGAGAAATTCTAGAGTAAAATATATTGTTTAACGTCCTTATACCGGTTTCACAAACTATTAGACTAGGAGATCCTGTTTTTGTTTTGGCTAAAGTAGATTTATCTGAAACTATATCCATTTATGTGTGTACAGTTTTGAATATAATTCTTAAACGTACTGATGTCTATATGTGGGTGTATTTACCTATTGTGATATAAGTACATAACACATATGACCACTTGTTTGGATTTATATCTTGTGATGGGTTCTGAGTACAGATGAATGTGTAGTGGTAGAGTCAGGTGTGGCAATAAGAGTTACTTATACACATGTTTTGTATTCTAAAGATGCTTCTTTTTGGTAAAATGAGTGTGTATAATTCCAGTTTCCTGCTATGTATCAATATACGTATGTTTGTATCTAAACTAGTCTGCAGGGGTCTCCTTATCACCTTTGCTTCCAGGATAAATCTTTTTGTTCTTCCCTTACGGGTGAGATTGCCTATTTCCTCCTTTCCTGGTGAGTATGAGCTCTTTCTCCAGCCATTTTCTTTTCTCACCCAGAATCTAGTGTTGGGGATGAGAAACCGTCTTTGATGATTCTGAAACAAATTCAATGAGCACCCCTCGCCCCCCACCCCCACCAAAATCAAAAACGATAATACTGTTTGTTGATGAACAGACAATGTGTAGGGAATTCCTAAATTTGTATAGTTTCCCTGTGAGAAATTAAGAAAGAAGGCAAAAAGGTGTTTCTACTCAGCAAATAGTATAATAAAAAAGCTAAAGTAGTAACTTTCTGCCGAACTGCTTGCAAGGATACTTTCATTCCTGATGTTACCAAAATGATGGTCTCTTTTTGTGATAATTCAGTGAGCTCTAATATAGTCATGTGTTGCGAAAGGATGGGGATATGTTCTGAGAAATGTGTCATTTAGGTAATTTTATCTTTAGACAAACATCAGTTTATTTATGTAAACCTATACTGTATAGCCTACTACACACCTAGGTTATATGGCATAGCTTATTGCTAGGTAGAATCTAGGCTACAAACCTGTACAGCATGTAATTGTACTGAATTATCTGGACAATACTGTAGGAAATTGTAACACGATGGTAAGTATCTGTGTATCTAAACATACAAAAGATACAGTAAAAAAGCTCACAGTATTTCTAAGTCATAGATGCAGTTAGTTGATTGAGACATCATTATGCAGTACCTGACTGCTTAAGATTTGGGTACTTGTCAGTATGTATGTTGTACTTCAGTTAGTAAGATATGTATATAACTATTACCTGATCAGGCAAAATAAGAAAACTAAGTCTTCCCTAAGCAAGATAAAGGATTGAACCATTAAGTTCCTACTGAATAGTTCTAAAGATAAGCCAATAAAAATTTAGTCATTTCAAATAAAACTTTCAGGATATCAAAAATCCTTTATCAATGACAAGTCAAGTTAACACATACTGATAAATTTAGAGCTAACAGAACAAACCAGATTTGGGGGATTGAGGGAATAGGACAGGACAGGACACCTAAATCCCTAAGTCTAGACACCCTGTCAGTCAATGTTATAGAATATTTTCTTATCATCCGTACATGTACGTGTGTTTATATTCATGTATATTTGTTACCATATACATACATTGAGAAATACTATCAGATGTCTTTTTAAAACAAAATAATGAAAACATTTTAAAAGTGAGAGAACATATTTTCTTCGATCCTCCAGCATCAGCCTTCCGAGTAGCTGGGACTACAAGCATGTGCCACAACCCCTGGTTAACTTAGAAATCTTATGTGGAAATGGACTCTCCCTATGTTGCCTAGGCTGGTCTTGAACTCCTGGCTCAAATGATCCTTGAGTGATCCCAAAGTGCTAGGATTACAGATGTGAGCCACCGTGCCCACCCTAAGTGAACATATTTTCAGTAACATGTCATAATCATTGAGAGTTCTACAAACAAATGTCACTTTGAGAAATGTATGTAATGGTAATGGCCTACCTAAGTTGATAATATTTTGAGCCCAGAAACTAGGATCACAGTGAAATTGGATGGTGTTGTTGGTCACTGGGGATGCATCACACCTTGCACGAAGGAGGTGCCGTAACCGGTATGTAATCTAGAAGAAAAAGGAGAGACAACTAAATATTAGGCAAATAATTTATTAAGTGCCCAGTAAATATACAAAAACAGTCTCTGGTATGTACATCAATACACAATAAACAATCATATATAGGTCACAAAATTGTGTTGTATGTTGGACATTGTTGGACATTGTGTTGTATGTTGGACATTGTGTTGTATGTTGTATGTTGTATGTTGGACATACAACACAATTTTCTTTCCAAAACAAGTTAAAAAGTTTTGAGGCATAATTCAGTTAGCTGTACTACTGAACCAATTTTGAAGTGACAGGTTAAAGTTAGTTTTTTGGATTACTAATAAAACTGTGCAGAATCACTAACTCAAATATTTGTAAAATAAAAATTATTAATGTATCTTAATGCTTTCATTGACTTTACTTACTCTCTTAGAAGGATTCAGAATTTAGACTAAGGGCTAATGAGTTACAGGGAATACAAATTTGTCTGTGTTCAGGAAAAGGAACTGGGCCTGTAAGTGAGGTGATTCTCCTTGTTCCTCATTACAGTTCTGTTCTCGCCATTGCCCTGAATACAACCAGCTTTGAATCTCACATCATCACACCACACCATCCTCTTTCCTCCACGCTGCAGTCATCAATGAGCATCTACTCATTCTCCCTCAGTCCTTGAAGATTTTAGTTCTTGGTTCACTATCACCATCTCCAACATTAGTCCTGTGGCAATTTTTGATGATTTCAATATCCAACCAAATGATTCACTTCCTCTAGTGCCCAAATACCAATAATCCCCCTAGGTCCTATAAGACTTTGCTTTTTCCATCCTTTCATCTCACTTTACCCTTGCCCTCTATCCCTCAATTCCTCATTATCCAGTCTCAATTCCAGGGTCAATAATCATCATAATTTCCTTACATATATATGTCACGTATGTAACACACATGTCATGACACACGTCATACAGCATGTGTGTCACATGCCATGTAACATGTCACATGTCATATAACATGTGTCACATAGTCATATATAACATCATAGATGTCACATATGTATGACACATATATATGTTAACTCCCCTTTCACTCAATTATATATGCTCACTTCACTCTCCTCAGTGTTTCCCCTAGATAAAACAACTTACCCTGGTTAAATCCCACATGCTGCCTGAACATAATTGAACTGATCTCACTTCAAACACATGACCATTTACTTCAGGTAGGCCATTAAGGCTGACTGGCTATCATATGACATTTCTCTAATCCATTCACTTCCCTACTTTCCTAAATAACTATTTCCTACTTTCTTTTCTCTTTTTGAATCATCAGTGTTTCCTCCCCCATTCTTAATCTTAGCTAATGTACTTAGCATTTCACTGAAAATCAGCAACAATCAAAGATCTTCCACAAACTTCCACCACTTTTCAGTCAATATCCCCTCCTGTTGCAACGGATGATGAAATGTCCATGTTTCTAGTTAAAGCCAGCCTTCCACTTGTGCAGTAGAGCACACCCCATCTTGCCTGCCCAGTAATTTTCATCCCTCTTCTGTAACACCAATTTTCCCATTTTACTGGATCACACCCATCAACATATAAATACGCTTTTAACTTTTTTCAGCTAAAAACAAAACTCTTTAACTCCTTTTCTCCTACCATCAACTACCCCATTTCTTTTACAGCAAAACTCTTCCAAAGACTCATCTAGGTTCACTGTCTCCTATTCTTTCCCATCCATTCTTTCCTGAAACCATTACGTTCACGCTTGTAGCAGCTTTTCACACAGGTGGTCGGTCTGCCTTCATGGAAATGCTTTTTTTCATTTGGTTTCCAGCACACTATAATCCCACTGTTTTTGAACTCCCCAGTAAGGGCAGGGATTCCTCTGCTTCTTGGCAGTGCACGATCTCAGTCTCCATTGTTGGTGATTTCTTCTCTCCCACACTGCTATGTGCTGGAATGCTCAGGGCTGAGTTTTTTTACTTCTCTCTTCCTCTACATTCCTATGTAGTCATGCACCATATAGCAATGTTTCAGTCAACAATGAACCTCATGTACAACAGTGGTCCCATGAAATTATAATGAAGCTGAATAATTCCCATTGCCTAATGATGTTGGAGCTGTAGTAACATCACAGCACCAGGTATTACTCAAGTGCTTATGGTGATGCTGGTGTAAACAAACCTACAGTGCTGCCAGTTGTATAATGATAATAATAAACTACTATGTTATTGGTTTATGTATTTACTATATTACACTTTTTTTTCATTATTTTAGAGTGTACTCCTACTACTTACTAAAAAAAGTGACAGCCTCAGCCAAGTCCTTCAAGAGATAGTCTCGGAAAAAGCATTATTATAATAGGAGATGAGAACTGAATGCATGTTTATGCCCCTGAAGACTTTCCAGGGAGATAAAATGTGGAGGTGTAAGACAGTGATATTGATGATATGAACCTTGGGTAGGCCTAGGCTAATGTGTGTGTTTGCATCTTGGTTTTTAACAAAAAGTTTTAAAATTAACAAATAAATAAGTTTATGAATTAAAGATATAAGGAAGAATTTGTACAATGTGTTTGTGTTTTAAGCTAACTGTTATTACAAAACAGTCAAAACATTTAAAAAATTACAGTTTATAAAGTTAAAAAGTTACAGTAAGCTTTCCTTAAGCTAAAATTTATTATTGAAGAAAAAATATTTTCAAATAAATTTAATGTAGCCTAAAAGCATGGTGCTTATAAAGTCCCCAGTAGTGTACAGTAATGTCCTGCGCCTTCACAATCACTCACGTGCTCACCCAGAGCACTGTAAATTTCCAGTCCTGCAAGCTCCATTCATGGTAAATGCCCTATACCTATACAGGTGCACCTTTTTTTTTTTTTGACTCTCACTCCATCACCCAGGCTGGAGTGCAGTGGTATGATCTCAGCTCGGCTCACTGCAACTTCCATGGTGTATCATTTTTTAATCCTTTGTATTGTATTTTGACTGTACTTTCTCTATGTTTAGATATAAAAACATTTACTATTATGTACAACTGCCTACAGTATTCAGTACAATGATATGCTGTACAGATAGCAGCAACAGGGTAAACCATCTAGGTTTGTGTAAGTACATCCTATGATGTCACACAATGCCTAAATCACCATTTCTGAGAATGCATCCCTGTCATCAAGCAACACATGACTGTACTTTTTATCCTCAGGTGTACTCTTCCTATAACCCTCCCTCTCCATCTCAATTATTGGTAATACTGTTTTTCCCTACAACTTAAAGTCCTCGGCTCCTTTCTTTTTCTTACACTCTATATTCAACCTGTCAGCAAATCCCATTGGCTCTACTTTTAAAACATATGTCTAGACCAGGCACAGTGGCTCACACCTGTAATCCCAACACTTTGGGAGGCTGAGGTGGGCAGATCACGAGGTCAGGAGTTCGAGACCAGCCTGGCCAACATGGTGAAACCTCATCTCTACTTAAAACACACAAAAAATTAGGTGTGGTGGCATGCACCTGTAATCACAGCTACTTGGGAGGCTGAGGCAGGAGAATCACTGGAACCTGGGAGGCACTCCAGCCTGGGTGACAGAGGGAGGCTCTGTCTCCAAAACCATAAATAAATAAATAACTTATTTTGGGACTATGTAGAATATTTAGCAAAGTATTTACCAGGCAGCAGTCAATACAATATACCATTCCCCCCAATTTCCCCCTTTAACTTTTTGCACCCTCTAATAATTCCCACCATAAATCATGCTCATAATGCTAACCATAAGGAATATTCTAAGAACTATGTTTTATCTGAAATTTAATAACTTTTATCTAAAATTTAATAATTTATTTTTTAAAAGTATTATTTTAATTGACCAATAAAAATTGAATATATTTCTGTGTACAGCATGTTTTGAAATAAATATACATTGTGGAATGGTTACATTGAGTTAATTAATCTATGTATTACCTCATATACTTATTTTTTTGTAATGAGAACACTTAAAATCTACTCTCTTAGCAATTTTCAAGAATATAAACGCAGTGGTATTAACTCTAGTTCTCATGTCATATAATAGCTCTGGTGAACTTATTCCTTCCCATCTAATTGAAATTTTGCAGCCTTTGACCAACATCCATTCCAATACCCTGAATCCCTTCCAGCCCTTTGTAACCACCATTCTACTCTCTCTGAGTTTAATTTTTTTCCACATATAAGTGAGATCATGAAGTAAATATAATGTCCTCAAGGTTCATCTATGTTGTTGCAAATGACAGGATTTCCTTCTTTTATAAAGCTAAATAGTATTCCATTGGGTATATGTACCACATTTTCTTTATCCATTTATCTGTTGAACACTTAGGCTGATTCCATTTTTTGGTTATTGTGAGTGTTGCAATGAACCCAGTTACATACATCTATTCAAGATGTTGATTTCATTCCCTTTGAATATATACATACCCAAAAGTGAGACTGCTGGATCATGATACTTCTATATGTAAATTTTCAAGGAACTTCCATACTGTTTTCTATGGTTGTACTAATTTACATTCTCATCAACAGGATGCAATCGTTCCCCTTTCTCCATTTCCTTTCCAACACCTGTTACCTTTATCTTTTTGACAATAGCTATTTAATCATTTATTTTTAAATAATTTTGAAATCATAGAAACACTGCCAGAAAAGTAAAAGAACCCTACATTTGTTTCACCCAAATTCCCTAAGTGTTAAGTTATGACATTTGCTCCAGTGCCCACCCAACTGCTCCTACACACGCTAATTTTTTCCGAAACTTTTGAGAGCAAGCTACAGGCGTGAGGTCCTGTCTTCCCTAAATACTGCAGTATGGATATCCTAAAACAAAGATCTTCTAACATAACCAAATCCCAGATTCCAAATTCATAAACCAACTGTTACAACACAGCCATCCAGTTTAAACACTTCATCCAAATGCCAAGTTTCAGCAGTCTTTTCCATGATGCTATCAAGGATACAAAATTGCTTAGCTGCCTCATTATTTAGTTGCTTAGTC